TAAAAAATAATTTTCAATCAAATAATAATTGTCATTAGTTACAAAGATTTTATCGATACTTGTATATGTATCTGTAAACACTGGACCTTAATTCTCTCTATTTTTGCCTTACTTTATCAAATGATGATATTCTTAACCTTTCTTACACATCAGCCCGAAATTAATTTTTAATAAAAATTATTATAGATGTTTTAATTTTTGTTGTGGTTTGGTTAAACTTAAAATTTACTACCGTCAAAATTAATTTTCAGATTTTTTTCCCCTTAAGGAAAAAAGTTTGACCAATGTCAAATAATGTCCAATTCAGGGTAATGATTTCAACATGAACCACTGAATATTTCATAGGGTTTAATAAGAATGTGATCTCAACTGTTCATATTATTGTTTTTTACCCCTCACACTTAAAGAGTCAGTTTTAGGTTTATACTTTAATTTTAATAAGGGTTAAACGTTGTATACATAAAAACGATTTGTTTGTTAAACAAGTGTTTTGTGCTATAATTATATATTATATATAACAATTCACACCGTATGCATAGGTACTTGTTGTGTTATTATTCTGAATCACATAAAAACATGTTGTTGCAAACTCAATAGTATCACCATACATTTTTCAGTACTCATATACTTTATATATATACGTAAGTTATATTCCGCTTCAGATTAATGTAAACAAAATGAATCCCAGAAATAACGTCACCGAGCTACTAAAATGGTTACTTAAGTATTACTGACAATGTGATTCACACTGTATGCATTGGTGCTTGTTGGTTTATTATTCTGAGTCATACAAAAACATGTTGATGCAAAGTTACTGTTGATGCAAACTTAGTTATATTCCGCTCTAGATTAATGTAAATATCGAATGTTGCTTGTGTAAATAAATTCGCATAAACAATTTTGAAAAACATTTCTAGATTTTATTTTTTTGGACGACATAATAAAGGTCATTCGGCAAGTCGTAAGTAAACCTTTGCAGCAGCCGGTTTGACTATCGTTGCAGTTTTTTAAGTAAGTAATATTACCAAAATGTCAAATATGGTAAAACTGTAAACTTTTAATATGTTTTAATAAATTTTAATTATTTTTCGGTATTAGACCTTCGATAACATTTAATCAACTATTCCAAGTAATACTATCAGACTTCAAAAGCTGTAAGTACGCTTTCAAACAGAAATAGATGAATTTTAAACACGTTTATCTAATAATAATACACAAAATTATAATTTATTCTTGTTATATTAAACATATAAATCCAAATTTCTTTAAATTTTTTTATTTTAAATCAGTTTTAAAACTAAATACCATTTTTTTAAAAAATCAATCCTGCAGGGAGTGCAGAATTATTTAAATTTGGATTTAAGGATACCTGAGAATAGGGACATGCCTGATAAACATTTTATTAAAATTTTGTCTTAATTCGATAGTTTTCCGCTATTTTATAGAAAGCTAACGTCAAAAGTTGAAAAACTAATAATTTTTTTTTTAGATTTTTATCGATGCTGTTTGTGATTTAGTAGACTTTTTCTACTATTGAACCAATCACATATAATTTCGAGTATCTTATAAAAATCGGACCATAGAATAACATATTATCGTGTTTACAGTTAAAAAAACACACACCCTAGGAATACTAGCTCGGCATCGGTGCTAAAAAACTGTTTTTTAAATAAATTAACAACATTGCGCTGCAATATATGTTTTTATTTTACTGCATTGCCGAAATATGTCTAAACAAAATGTACTTAGAAGTTGAATATAGTTGTAATTTTAAATAAAAAAAAACATTTTTTCGTAGTTGCTTAGTTTATGATAAATTGTTTGAATAGATATAATAATTGTCATTTAAATACAAACATAATATGTATCTATATTTTAAATTTGTGTCCATGATGCAAAATTTTTGATTTTATATTTTTAAAATTTATTTCAAAGTTCAAGCTTTATTTTTACCTCATATTTTTAATTTATTAAAATATAAGTATAAATTTTGAAAAATAATAATATCAGAACAAATTACCTTTGGTTTGCATTTTTTCGAATAAATTTAGACTAAAATTAAATATATAAGCACAAGCCAATGTTCATATTCTGTGGTATCAATTATATGATAACACTAGTTAAAATTAGAATTAAAAAATAAATAATTACCATTATCAAAGTTATTAGAGTATCAAATAAAAGCCAGATCGTTAGATTTTTTATACTTTTGACCCAATCACATATAATTTCGAGTATCTAATGAAAATCAGGCCATAGAAAAACATAGTATCGTGTTTGCAGGTACAAAAAAAAACACACCATAGGAATACTAGCTTGGCGTCGGTGCTAAAAAACTGTTTTGTAAATAAACTAACAAAGATGCAATGCAAAATATGTTTTTATTTTACTGTATTGCCAATATATGGATAAACAAAATGTACTTAGAACGTAGTTGTAATTTTAAAAAATTTACCATTTTTCGTAGTTTCTTGTTGCTTTGTTTATGGTAAAAGTTTTCATCCATACCGGGTAATCCATCTTATGTGAGATACATGTTATGTAGTTATTTATTTAAAACCATATTAAATTATTATAACAATTCTCTATGTGTTGAAAACTATAGTAGAATATATAAGCACCTAAAAATATAGGAAACATTTTTCATCCAAGTCTGCAATCACGAAAGAGTATCTTCATATCTCGTTGAAGTACCAAATATAATTTTATTAAAAATATAAGTACAAATTTTGAAAAATAATAATATCAGAACAAATTATCGACTGGTTTGCATTTTTTCGAATAAATGTAGACTAAAAGTAAATATATAAGCACAAGCCAATGTTGATATTCTGTGGTATCAATTATATATTAACACAAGTTAAAATTAGTATAAAAAAAAAAAAAATGATTACCATTATGAAAATTGTTAGTGTATCAAATAAAAGCCGGTTCGTTAGATTTTTTGTACTTTTGACCCAATCACATATAATTTCGAGTATCTAATGAAAATCGGGCCATAGTCACACATGGTATCGTGTTTGCAGATACAAAAAAAAAACACACACCATAAGAATACTAGCTCGGCATCGATGTTAAAAACAGATTTGTAAATAAACTAACAACGTTGCGCTGCAAAATAATGTTTTTATTTTACTGTATTGCCGAAATATAGACAAACATAATGTTTTTGAAATTTAAATGAGCATTTATGATGAAACATTTTTTTAAAATTGTATCTTTAAAATACACCTCAAGTTTAAGCTATTTTTCATCTTGTACTTTTATTAATTTAAAATATAAATTTTCTAAGAACGTTTCATCCAAATATATTATTCTTTTTCGATTATATCATAAAAATGTTTGCTATAAAAGCATGGATTGAGAGTAACAAGCATTTTGCTTAGTCACGTTTTGCAATGGGAAATTTAGTGCAAAACGTATTCTTAAAAGATAACTATAAAAAAAAAAACCATACATCTAAAATAATTTTAAAACCAAAACGAGAATGTTAATAATTGGCCTTAATCGGCAAAACATTCATTTGGTTTTTTTGAATCTATTTTACTATTTATTAAAGTTTGTTCGTTGTGAAAACAACACATAATTTAAAAAATTAACATCCCGCCACCATTGCCAGCCACATCCCAATCCCCATCCCCACCCTCATTAGAAGGATATATAAGGCTATAGAAGGATATATGTGTAACAACTGTGAATAAGTGTGTAAGTCGATTTCAGTGATTTTACAGGGAAGCGATTTTAAACTTTGACCAGCTGCCATAAATCGCTACTTAATCAATAACTCACATCTCTCTTAAGGTTTACTTGTTGGTCCAACGAGGTAGACATTTATCCGAGGTGTGCTAAACGTCTCACCTAACCACTACGTTTTTTTCGTTATGATAACCGGAGTCGATTGTAAATGGTGTCGATTTTTCCGTGTATATGCTAAGACAAAAAAATGTCAATATCCCACTCAAGTAATTGAAATTAACTCAAATAATCCTAAAAGACATGAATTAGATAAATAACAAAAAACTATTTTTCGGTTAGGTTAAGTTATCTCTAGTCAAAAATCATAAAAAATGTATAAAACAAATTTTAAAACCAAAACTTTCTCATCACGACTACTACGGAAGACCCGAGCCTTATATCAATTGCTTTAAATTTATTAATTTTTCTAGATAAAAATGAAAATTTCCTATGTTTTAATATCACTAATCTGCGTAAATGTTTTGGCAGATATAAGTATAAGTAAGTATTTTATTTATACTTAAGCACACAACGTAGATTAAAATCTAAAAAAAAATAATATTTAACTATTCTTTACAGTGGAATATATAGAGATGGTTGAAATTTCAAGTGAGTTATATTTTATAATCATATAGACTAACTTTGAGAGTTTTTAAATTTCACTAATTTTACACATACCTATTTTTTTTAAAACATTTACTACAGACATACAAATCAAGAAAGCTTCTGACTATAAAGATGATCATATAAAAAGTAAGATAACAATCAATGTACTAATATATAATTGTATTACAATGATTGCCTAGGTGTCAAATTACTTGTAAATAAAATATAAATTTATTTTTATATTTAAGAGGATGCCGCCCATGCAATTTTTTGTTATAATAATACGAGTTTGGCTTTCATGATACAGCGCCTCCAAAAATTGTCGTAAAAAAAAGTTACCTTTATCACCTGAAAGTTATGAAACTTAACATTGTCTTTAATTTAAGATTTTGTAAAAAATTGCCAGCACAAAACTTTTTAATACATGGGCGGAGTGGCATCTTCAAAATGTGGTAGTTTTATATTTTTGATTGGATCTGTGCACTGTCGCATGGGGCACGAGCCTTTACTAAAAGTTACTATAATTTACTAAGAGCACACTTGACTCTAAAAATTGATTATTTACTTAACAGGGTAATTTTTTCTAATGATTTTTTTTTATTAATTTTAATTTTATTTGGAACTTTTCTAAAGGTCGAACTTGTATTTGATTGTTTTAGATGGATTGGAGCATGTACTTACAGTCATGATAGATAAAGATTACTATGGAACGCGTAATAATAATTATGTGATATTAAAATTCTTGTTTAAAGAAGAAATGTACCTATAGAAATGTGTACAGTTAACAACAAAAATATATCTTTGACCCTTTCACTGCCATTGTGCTTTACACACTGCTACATGTCACAACTATCGCCATACTGAAAAAGGTTTCGTAATTAATTGATTGATTGTAGAATAGTAGCACGTCTAGGACAGTGAAAGGGTTAAGGCTAATGTTCAGTGATAATAGTCTTATTCTACTCCCCCCATGTGATTCAATACCGCCATTGTCATTTCATAAGATTTCAAACTAACTTAATATTATAGAGCTAGCCATTTTATTTCGAATTTCTAACACACATATTATTTTTTCTTAGCTTTTCTACCCTAGATTATGATAGAATAGAGTATTAAATTCATTACAACAATTTTTTTATTGCTTTTTTCAGAATATTTAAATCAAATGTTCATTGTACCGGGTAATACTTTTTTTAACATATTTTCACACAGTCGCTTGATAATCAAAAAGTATATACATTTTTCGCTTTAATTTCAGAACATGCAGATACTAAAACCTATGACTCTCTAGAACGTAATCAATTAACACTTTAATATAATACAAATAATTATATATTGTAAAATATTGGTTTTATTTTCAAATTTAGATTCCATAATGACAGAAAAATATAAAATGCAACAGGATATTTTTAACATAATAGGTGATTATAAAATTATCAGTTTTTTAATAAACAACTTTCTAAGGCCAATAAGCCCCTTAAAACGTAAATGTAAACAAAAACTACAAAAATATTAGATTGTTACATATCTTAGGTTTTTCAAACACATCTTTAACGATTTCGAAGTGTACTGAATATAATTAGGTTCATCAAGGAATAATAGGTCACAAGAAATTTTGTAAAAGAGAGAATTAATACACATAACAAATTTGATTATTATTAAATTCATTGTGAAGAAAGTATTATTTCAAACGTTACTACTTGCTAGAGATTAATTTTATGATAATAAAACATTTTGCATTGACTTATTAGTCAAAGTAATTTTATTTTTCGAATGACTGTTATAAATTAATATAACAACTGGGTTTACGTAGCTGTATTATATTCTTGTTTCAGGTATCCGTGCTGATAAACCCAAAAGTAATTACAAAGTTATTCAACAGTTATTTAATATTAATACTATGTTTAGCATTAATTAATTGAAACTGTTATGGATAAATAAACAAACCGAGTTTAAATAACTAAATTATTTTTAAAATTATTTTTACAGGTATTCCGGCGGCTAATGATGAAAAACAAAGTATTTACAAAGTTATTCATTAGTAGTATAAAGAACTTATGATTTGATTGAACGATCAAATTTTCTTTCCACATTATTTTTTTACACATTATTGACAATTATGTAAATTTTAAAAGCACATAATTTATTGTTTGGTCAAAGTTATCTCCTTTTTTAGTAACTGTTATGGATCAATGTAATAAAAGGGTTTAAAACGGTATTTTTTTAAAATGTATGTTACAGAAATTCCTATGCCTGCTGATACAACTAAAAGTAATTACAAAGTTAATTACAAAAAATTTAGTAAAGTTTAGTTGGGGAGACTTACTGTTATAATAATTTTAACAACTATTATATTTAGAGTAATTTTTGGAACAGCGTTTATCAATTTTTAACATTTTGCCACAAAATACCATTTTTAACGTAATAGATTGTTGACGTTTTATGTTAGCAAATACTTATGACTCGACAGACAAAATACGATACTAGTTCTTGTTGTTTGATATACTACCAAGAGCTGGTTGAATCATAGTACTCATAGCACTAATAACGCTTCATTTATCATTGTACTCTACGCTAATAATTGACATTGGAAACCCCTCACATTTTACCTTTCCGATAGGAAAGAATGCACTAAAGCGAACAGAGCGGTTTCTGAACCTTCTACTATCTCCTCAAGCGTCTATCAATAGGACCACCTTAGTCCTCTTTATTTTGTTAGCTCATTAGAGGGACTTTTGCAAAAACAAGAAGTTCTTTTTTTTTTGCAGACGACATGATATATATTTTCATTAGTATTGCTTTTTCCGCGGATTATTGAAACCTACAAGCTGAAGTTATTTGATTTCTTGACTGGGCTCATCTCCTTGGTTATTATGAAAATTTTTAGGAGCTATAATTCTCTTCTACGTGGTTTATGTGCTTCGTAGTACATACCTTCGCTATATTTTGTGTATAAATGCTGTAGCTATCAGGACCTTAAGAGCCATCGGCTTAATGCTAATACTATAATTTGAACTATACTGTATAGTTTTTTGTTCATTGTTTAAGATATTATTGTTTGACTGATTATTGCACTTCTATATTATACTTTGTATGCGATATTTTTGTACATTTGTGAAAAAAATGCGTATTAGTGATTTAAATATCAAAATAAAACATAAATACGATTATATTATTAAATACTGTATTATAAACCAGTTTATATATAAATTTGTGCAGGTGATGGAATTTCGAAATGTACCACATTTAATAATGCGAGAAAAATTGTTACGAGCAAACTTTGTTGTAAATATAAACATACAATTTTAAAGTATTACTTTTTACATAATCAATTTATTTGTACTATATTGATAATTTGTGGGTTTTTTTTAGAGATAATTAAATTTTTTTGTGTAACAGTAATACACGTATATTTTAATTTATTTCTTGAGCGGAGGGGGCCTTATCGACTTAAAATCAACACTATATTTGGCATTGATTAATTGAAACTGAGATGAATAAATACAATAGACCGGGTTTAGTTAACTAAAAAATGTTTTAATATTTGTTTTACAGGTACTCCTGCGCATGCTGATGAAAACAAAAGCATTTACAAAGATGATAGTAAATATATAGTATTGCTTGTTTGAAAGATACAATTTGCTTATCAATTTCTTTTGTTCACACAATAATAACTAAAAAGTTAAATTTTAGTTGGGGAGCCTTAATAACCTTTTACCACTATTATATTTCGGGTATTATTTTGAACGGCGTGTATCAATTTTTAAGAATACACTTATGCTCAAGAAGCGGTTTCTGATCCTTCTATTACGACATCAACATTTTTTTAGTATTGTATCAGTGGATGGTTGCCTACTACATATTGAACTTAGGTTTTTTCTGTATTTGGCTCATCTCCACGGTCTGACACTGTATGTTGAAAAATGTCATATTTTGTCATTTTCCTGGAACCGTATTCCGCTACTGCACGACTTCTTTCTTCATGGTATTCAACTCCATCGAGTTTTTTCTATTAATGATCTTAACACCTTATGTACGCCTTCTCTATATTTTAGAGATCACTTAAACGCGGTAGCTAAAAAGGCTTTAAAAGACATAGGTTTTGTGTTAATATTATATTTTGCATTCATTAATTGGCCAAATGATTCTCATTTTTAGAGTTACTGCTATGGATACATACAACATCACGGTTTGACTAACTATATAATTTATTTGTTACAGAAAATGATGTTACAGGTAGTACTATGCATGATGACGAATACAAGAGAATTTACTATGCTACTAGTTAGTATTAATCAGAACTTATGACTTATTTGAAAGATAAAATTTGCTTTATATATTATTATATTGTTCACATAACAATTTACTATAAGTTGGGGAGACTTGTTTTAAGGGTTCTAGAATGAAATAGTAATTTTTGCAACCTTACCAAACTTAGAACCAGATAAAAATTGAAAGAATACATAATACATTTTGAGCATACGCGCCTTTTTGCTAAAATCTTATCTCTATTTTATTTGTTCACCCCTTCTAGGTTCCATCAATTTTAGGCTTCATCCTGATATTCCAGTTATCAAATTTTTGTTCGTTCCTTCCCTCTGTTTGTACTTATTAGGGCATTAAATATTAAAAATAAAACACATAATTATGAATACTATTAATCTTTTTGAACCAGTTATTAATATAAACATTTATGTAGGTGCCGAAACTAATAATTACCATAATTGTTTGCGTTCCTTCCCACTCTGTTTTTACTTATTAGGGTGTTAAATTAAAAAAATCAAAATACATACGAATATATTATTAAAAATTATATTTTCAAACCAGCTTTTTATACACTTATGCAGATACTGAAACTTCAAAATTGACCGAACTTGGAAAGGCGAGAAGAGGTCTTACTGGAAATGCTATTATAAATGTGCTTACCAAAAAATTAGGTGATTATAAATAAAAAGATTTAATATTATTTATTTTTTTGATAACATTTATTTTTACAGCATGATTTTAAACTCATTTTAAATAACTATTAATACAAAAAAAAAAGCATATATTTTTTTTTAATACTGAGATTTTTTACAATTATACATGTTTTATATAATTGTATTACCTATTTCATTTACGTTTAATAATTTTGTCAAATTAATTAACATCAATTGCACAAATAAAAAAAATAGTGGCTAATAATTGTTAATTTTGGCAATTTTTAGCAACTGTATTCTGTTTTTTTAGCTGATATTATCTCGGTTGACAAGAAGTATTCTGTTTACACATTTAATGTACAATTTTTCAGCTTTCTAAAGAAAATTCTTAAATTTTGGGCAACAAAAAAAACATATTTATAAATTATAAACTCATTTTTATTGAGAGTAAATAATAAACAAAAAAAAATTATAATTTTTTTCAGAAAGCTGAGATTTTTACTATTATACATACTAAATATGTTTGTATAACTTGTTTTATTTACGTTTAGTAATTGTGTCTTGCACTGAAAGGAATATAGTGGCTTATAAGTTAAATTTGGTTATTTTTAACAACTGCTTTTTGATTTTTTAGCTGAAATCAACAAGGAGAAACTAGACAAGGAGAAATCTGCTAATAGGATTTGTACTTTGATAGCAATGTGGGTTAGTCTTAAAACTTCTTCAAACACGTCTTATTTTTTAAAGTCATATGATGATGAATGTATGGTAGTACTAAAAGGGGGTGTTGTAAAATACAAACCATCTAGATTTTTTGGCGTATATATGCAAGTAAATGCCTCTAAACAAAAAAAACTAAATGTACAACTACGCGAGGATATCAGTACTCCGCTTGAGTTAAGTATCGAATAATACTAGATATCAATCGTTTATTTATTTTAAAATTATATTTAAATAAATAAATAAAGTTTGCATATTGCACTAAATTAGTTTATTTGAGATATGCTTATTTATTGTTATTATTATGTAGTTTCATTATCATTAGTATTCCCATTATTATCATTATAATTATCAGCCGATTGTCATATGTAAAATAAAATAAATAAATGATAAAATAAACGCGTTTGTTCACGATTTTAAACACATTTGTTGCGAATTATTATTGATATTATGGCGATCAACCTTATCGTGTCTACCCTAATACAACAAAATATTTTTAAGCACATAATTGTCATTAGGTACAATGTTTTTGTTGATATTTGTATATTGACATATGTATTTTTAGCTTCGATGCAAAGCGAGAAGGTATTGGTTTTACTTTGATGTGTTTTTTTTTATCTGTATACACTGTAACTTTTTTAATACTGAACCAATTCCTGCGTGTAGCAACTCTATAAATCGCAAATTTCATCTAGTTGGTACTTTGGGGGGGGGGATAAAAGTTGAAAAAGTTAAATTCTTCA